GTTGTGAATGAATTCAGAAGTCGTGAATGAAGTGTACAGATTCCAATGAAATATATATAAATCAGAAACGAAGCTTAGATTACATTTGAAAAATTATAGATACAATCTTAATTCATTCAACTCGTCTTTTCTTGACTAGAGAACCAAGCTGTAAAAAAAATTGACTTCATTTTTAAAAATCTTTTAATTAAACGCACAAAGGACTTACAAGATCTGAAATTGCAGGTAAATTATTAGTTTGGTCTGTGACAGTTGTTTCTGGTTCCCTAGTTTCCTTTGGAGGGGCAGCCTTCTTCATGTTTCTATGTTGAGGAAAGGTGGGCATAAGCTTGGGATCACATGCTATAAGAAAAATTAAATGTAAATTTATAATTAATAATTTTCAATATACAATAATACAAATATTATGCTGATTCTTACGCAAAGGTGCCTCTTTGAAATAGGTGCTTTGTAAACATTCGTCTGCAGTAGCTCTTTTCTTTGGATCGTACATAAATAAGAAATTTAATAATCTTAAACCAGCAGCGCTTAACCATGGAAATCTTTGTTTTAAATTATTATATGGCTGCTGTTTTAACGTAAAGTTTTGTAAAGCGGGAAGTGTATTAAACTCGGGCCAAATTGCTTCGCTAGGTGTACCTAATAAATCAACAATTAATTCTAACTGCTGAATTTCTGACCGCCCGGGTAATAATGGTCGATGCCCAAGCAGTTCTCCTGAAAAAAACAGATTTCAATGGTTCTATTAAGTCCAATAAGAAGAATAGAACAGAAAGAGAAAATAAAACCTACCTAAAATGCAACCTGCAGCCCACATATCAACAGAAGTTGTCTGTGTTTTAGCTTGCAATAACAATTCTGGTGCTCTGTACCACAATGTTACTACTCTAGGTGTCATTGGTTTCAAAGGTAAGCCAAACCATCTAGCTAATCCAAAATCAGCAATTTTTACACAACCTTTATCTGTCATTAGGAGATTAGATACTTTCAAATCTCTATGTACAATGAAATTGTGGTGTAAATAACGTAAACCCTTTAACACTTGTAAAACAATACATTTGACTTGACTTTCTGAGAATGGAGTTTGCATATTATCTAATAAACTTGCTAAGTCCTGTTCACAATATTCCATAGCAAGGAATATACTCTCTAAACTTCTGCCGACTACTACTTCCCTTAAATGTACAATATTCTCATGACGGCATGACAGTAGAACAGATATTTCTCTTAGGCCACTGACTGGAAGACCATCTTTCTCGTGTTCCATTCGTACTTTTTTCAATGCTACCACTTTATCATTTTTAGTGTCTCTTGCTCGGTAAACAATACCGTAAGTACCTTCACCGATACGATTTAGTTTTTCAAACTCAGATACAAATCTACATTTGCCTAGCTATGAAAATATACAATATTAATGTTAGTCACATGTATTGATGCATATGATTAGAATAATCATAGAAATTATCATAAAATCATTACAATGTCTTGTTCTGGTATTTCCATTGGTTTGCCAGTTAAAAATGACGTTAATACGCCTCTTCTAGTTATTGGTGCTGATGGATCAGGACCTGATTCAGATATAGCTTTTTTGTCACTATCATTGTTCTCCACTGATTTCTTTTCCAAAGTTTCATCTGTAAAATTTGTATAACTTACTGTCAATAAATTATTTTATATTTGAATACATTTATGTATTACAAAACATAATTATAAATTTCTAGATTTACTATAGTAAACAAAAAATTTATATATCGATACTATTGGAGATTTGATAAAGGTTGGAGAACCTTGAGTAACTTTTATTTATATTACAAGTATCATAATTTCAAATAACGCGTAATAAACAAAAGGACAATGATTTAACCTAGTTAAGAATATTTGCGTTATGATTATAATGAAATTGAATTATACCTTTCGTCATTATGGTTGATTATATTCACAGAAATGTTTTCGTAACTATATTTATTCTTTCTTTTAGTATTCGTATCTTAAAATACTAAATTTATGTAGTACTCATATAAGCCTCGTAAGGTACATGTATACGTATCTGCATG